CGCGGAATTGCTTCCACTTCACGCCTGTATTCTGTGTGGTCGTGGTATTGCACTGGGCGAGCCGGCCCTACAGTGCGAAAATGTTAGGGCGGGCTCTACCACTGTTAGTTTAATGCTACACGGAAAAATCCAATTGCATTTACTTTCTTTCGCTAAGTTACAAGCAAAAATGTGCACAAAACCGAAAATTGTAACTTCACAGGATGTAAAAAAATGTACATGAATACTTTAATATGTTTATTTTCTTAACAGATTCGTTGTCGGTCAACACGTTACGCTCCAAGACGACGTTGTCAGCCATCTTAACATCAGTCGTGTGACGGAACAAGATGGCGGCGAGTACGCTTGTGTTGCCAGCAATACGGCGGGTAAAGCCAGCCACGCAGCCAGAGTGAACGTGTATGGCTTACCTTATATTCGGGAAATGCCCAAAGTGACTGCGGTAGCTGGAAGTGATTTGAATATAAAATGTCCTGTCGCCGGTTATCCTATTGAATCCATCACGTGGGAACGAGGTTAGTATTTAAATTTTGTATTCTTGTAGCTTTTATTATCGCATATGTATAAGGACTAGATTGCCATCTCCGTCTGTTTCAAAGAAAATGAGAGGGACGTCATACAGTGGAAATAAACAACACTGGTTTAGTTTGCATTCATTTCTTTTACCAAATCATAATTTTAATTTTTGATGCAAAATAACCAAAAATGTAATTGAATACTCACGTAAAGTATAAAATTGGGGAAACCTTCTTAATTAAGTAAAGGGAAGGTGTTTAGCTTAGGTAAGCGAACCTTCCCTTTCCCGCTGGATATTTGCAAGGTAAGCATTCTGAGTGATTTATCTGCCCCACTGTTTGCCGAGGTGCAAATTGTTGTTTGTGTTATACTTCACTCTGATAAAATATTAAAGATTTTCGCAACGCAAAATAGTTCAAGTATTTTGAACCGTTTATTTGACAAACATTTGAATATTAAAGCCAACTTTTATCGTTTTAATTTAAATTTATTTTTTTAAGATGCCACCTATTTTTTGTGAAATTTGTCAGTTTTTAATCAGACTAGAAATGTTATTAACTGTGAAAAAAGATTGTTTTAATACGCTTTTTATATTTCATCATCACAAGTAATTTAATAAAACTCCAATTTCTTACATTCTGTTGAGTATATAAATATAAAAGTAAGTATATAAATATCTAATTTAAGGGCTAAACGTTAAAAGTTTATGGTTTCAATTAGTTTGTTGAACAACTCGTACATAAAACGAGGGTTTTATATCTCAAGGTATAAATTCGTTTTGCGTGAAGAGTCTGCAACTTAAATTCAATTTGAATGAGGAAAATATTACTCTCCCATGGCTTGAATAAAATTATTGCTTGTTTATCCTTATATTTTACAAAGTTAAGGAAGACAATCTTATTATAGACCAGATACTTACTAAACTAGCGCGTACCATCCTTCGACCACATCTTCACCTTGGTGTAGGTGGGATAGTGGTTAAGCGCTGGTTTTTGCAATTTAAAAAAAAAGATATATGAACGATGATTACAATTATATTGTAATTACCATAAAAATGTAAAACAAAACTTAGTAGTATGTATCAATTCGTATTTGTATTTTTGTATATTAAAGTTGCAAACAGATATGAAAAAGCTAGCTTTCGCGATGTGTAGGTACCTATTTAGATACGTGGGAAATATTCAACAATTCCGAAGCAAACCAAAATATCGCACAATATGAAAATGTTTAACAATGTGAGTTAAAATTGGTTTGCTAATGATATTTTAGTCATTTATTTTAATGAATATGAAACACATAAAATGACGAAACTTGTACCTACTTATTACCCAAGAGAAATTTGTAATTAAAACTTTGAACAAACTGTTATCACATATTCAGCAGACGAGCACGCGACTCCATAAAAATAATTTGTGTCGAAAACATTTCTTTCAATATTATTAAAGAGGCGTACCTTGCAGGCAGCGAGAGATTAACTTTTTAATTAGAGGTCCCTCCAAAAAAATTTGACTCAATTTTTTTTGTGGAAAATCGTATTTAACTGACTGTAGCTTTTAAATTCGTACACGTATAAATGAGGTTAAGGCTTTTATCAAAAATATTTTTATTAAAACTCAGGTTACTTTCTCGTTATGTGAATTGTTATAGAAGACTGCATGGAATAATTAAATCTGCCTTTCGCTCAGTTAAATTTATTGTCTCCTTACTTATGTTTCGATATGTTTTAATAAATCTGCATATTTTTTCGCAGTATTTATCTGTACACATCTGGCAACGTTGTTGGTATTTCATTAACTATAGAAAAAAATATTTCTTTTCTTAAAGATGGTCAAACGTTACCACTCAATCGACGGCAAAAAGTGTTCCCCAACGGCACATTGGTGGTGGAGCAAACTCAACGTGGGGAGGACGCTGGTACATACACCTGTCAAGCTTCCAACAGACAGAGGCATGCCGCTAGAAGAGATGTAGAAGTGCAAATACTTGGTGAGTTAGCACCTGTACACGTAAACACTTGTACACATAGACACTTGTACACATTTTTACAACAATACAGTATTCTTTAGCGGTTACTATTGTTTATACCTTACCGTCATCTAGAGTAGATACGGATTGAATTTTGTTTGGGTAAATCAATTTCGAGTTTTTTTCGGTTTATACAGAAACTGCACCATTATACTTTGTATGAGTTGTGATCTTTACCACAGTATTATACGTTGTTCGTGTCTATTTTATTAGTTACTAGCTGTACCCGTGCAGCTTCATCCGCATGAAATTATAAAAACTTTATTTTATTCTTCACATTTGTAAAGTTGTCAATTGTAATCGTAACTACCGTTACCTTAATAACCTTGTTTTTTAATGTTGGCAGCCTGTCGTTTATGGTTCTTTGCCCACATAAAGGTTTTTTCTAAATTAATTACCCCCGAAGTTCAATAGCGTGGATATAGTCCAAAGCGTATCGTAAGTGTAGGGCTTTTTATTAAAGCAAGAAATTTTCAAAAATATGCTGTAATTGCTGACATCTTAGGCAACAAAGAAGTGTGTGTTTACGCTTTATTATAATAGTATAGATTGATAATAATTTGAACTTTTCTAAGGTTCAACATTTATAAGGTTTAATAATGTCATATAACCTTGATTTTCTTTTAAGCCTACATAAATTCTCGTATCTAACAGGGGTGGACAACGTAATTCAATTTAGCGCATTTCCTGTGGCATCCCCAGGACTTATAGCGTCCCGTGTTTCTCGGTTAATAGAGTAATAAAACTTGCGTATAAATCTAGATTGAATCTCAAAGTGTTTTAGTTGACGGTTTTATAATACAGTATTAAAACCAACATGGCGTCTACCAAAGCGTGTGATAGACTTAAACAAACGGTAGTAAAATGTATTTAAGTTCTACAACAATGGTGCATTAGTGTACCATTAGAATACCTTTATCGTCTGCAGCATTTTAAAGAAAGAAATGAAGTGAGAAAAGGATTTCTTATGAAAGTCTCCTTTTAGTGGGTAATTCAAAATTCTATGTAAAGTAGACTTAAGAACATTCTGCACTTTTAAATAAAAATCAATATTTTATACCTCTCAGCATGAGTTTACACTGCCGAAGTAATTTTTTTTGTTTCTCGAGTAATGGAAACCTGGTGTTAGCAAAAATTTGTCAGCACAAACAATGAATTCGAATTAACTAAATTAACATAATTAATTCTATATCTATTTGTTTTCAGTACAGCCAAAGATCTTACCCATACAGCCGTTAACAAATCTTCTTCGAGAAGGCATGAGGGCGGCTATCTCCTGTCAGATTTTAGAAGGAGATCTTCCGATAGCTTTTCGTTGGGAGAAGAACGGACAACCAGTGACATCGTCTCCGTACGCACCGAGTGGCATAATCACCCGTAGGATGGATGAATACAGCGCCTCGCTCGTTATCGAACATATTACATCATTACACAGCGGAAATTACACCTGCATAGCTTCCAATATCGCAGGATCCGAACGTTTTACAGTACCTCTTACTGTTAATGGTAATTTTGTCATTTCTACTTACACTGTTATTAAGTATGTTGTATTTCTTGAACATAATTATACAAAAACTAGCGATCGCATGGATTTAAATAGGAAGTAGCCTATTTGTTTTTTCAGACTGTCCTCTACATCTATGCCAAATTTAATCGAGATTCTTTCAGCTATTTAGACTACAAACTCTTTAATCACCCATATAAATAATGTTTTATTATTTATAATTATGAAAAATCTTATAAAACAGAAATTCACATCTTAAAAAAGGCTAAAATATGAATACGAACACTACAAGAAATTAGGAACAAAAGTTAGGGATGTAAATCAATTATTACCAAAATTGAGATATCTTGTTGTTAGTTAACATCAGTTTATGGTAAATTTTGGTATATTGTTGACATTAATAGTCTTTACACGATCGTGTGAACAGTGCCGCCGAGATGGCGACTGGAGCCAAACGACATTGCGGTAGCGGCCGGCCAAGACGTCACGTTGCAATGCCAAGCTGACGGATATCCGAAGCCAAATATTACGTGGAAGAAAGCAGTAGGTAAGTTGAAAGATTAACAAATAACACATAATACCTTAAACTCCGTACTCATCTATGAACTCGTCTATTTTAAGGATTACACGATCTTTGACAACATACTGGCTGTGTGTGGATTGATGTAAAAAAGCAAGGACCTCGTCTGACTATTTTTATACTACTAAAAATAAAAATAAATTCAAAAACAGAAGAGACAATCTGCAATAAAGTAAAAAATAACAATGTAATAAATAATTTTATTTATTTATTACATTGTTATTTTATTTAATAAATTACTATGGTGTTTGAATTCGTAACGTTTGAGTAATAACTTTATTTATATTCGAAGGTAACACGCCGGGGGAATACAAAGATTTTCTATTCGAGGGCAGCTCCAGGGTGCTTGACAACGGCTCTCTGATATTCGAGCGCGTCGCCAAAGATAGCGAGGGACACTACCTTTGTGAGGCGAGGAACGACATCGGCGCTGGTCTCAGCAAGTTGATATTTCTAAAAGTTAACGGTAAGATGTTTTTCCGTATTTGGATTTAGTAAGCAATTTTTTTGAAGTTTATTATTGAAACGACAATAACATCGACGTGAAAACTTCTTCCATATAAAATAAGTATATAGAAGCTTTGGTTCAATGAAACAGTTTTATACCTAGTTCTATTTAATTCAAGAGTCATGCGACGTGGAAGGTGTCAACTGTTGGCCGAGAATTCTATAATAACGGGGGAAATGTATGGAATCCATCATAGCTTTATCTAGGCGACAAAGTTATTCGACCTGTTATTGGAACTCGAATGAAAATTCTTTTATGTCATTACCGCTTTCCAGAACGCCCTAGTTATTTACGAAGTGATAAAAGCATAGTTTATCACTTCGTAATATTAATCATAAGTGTATGTGTAGTGTAGGAAAAAAATCATAAAGTTCTACTAAGAAATATTATTTACTACCTTTCGTCCGTTACTCCGTCCGCGTGGAGTTCAAAAAAATAAAAATTAGTAGCCTATGTGTTTTTCCAGACTATTCTCTACGTCTATGACAAATGTTATCGAGATCCGTTCAGCTGTTTAGGCTACAAACTCTAACAAACATCCATCCATCTAAACATTCGCATTTATAACTTTAGTAAGATTAGAATTTTTAATTAATCTGGTTTTAACTCCAATTCACAGAGGTCAGTTTTCTTTTCGTCTTTGATTTAATAAAACTGAAGATCGTAAATAATTTTAGTCTCCGTTGACATAATTTCAAAGCAATAAAGGTGTAAAATTTCTATACTTCGCAGCTGTGCCATTCCATTTATTTCTATTGAATTCCTCGTCGCTTTCCTGTAGTTCGCCGAATTGCTGAGTTATCGTTGTATTGAACGCACAAAGCATTAGAGAAAGTCAATTTTACGACCACTCTACAATCCCTTTTGTTGGCTCGGGTACTTAACATCCCTCCGTAATTTATTAACCTTATAATTCTATAGGGTGGTTATATATTTTATCTAACTATCTACGTCTCTATAATCTTTTTATAATGGTTTATATTTGCGTAATCTTATAATTTATGGTTATTTCAAATGGAACCTTAATATTCAGACCTTGGGCGAAGCTAGCTGATGATCTAAGCTAGATCTAAGGGGGTTACCACTAACAAAGTTTTCAACTATTTTTCCTTTTTGGAATCTGTAAAGGGTGCACTTTCTTCGCGTTCTTCCGCCACCTGTAGCGACGCCCATAATACAGTTTATGTATGATTATTTGCGAATGATTTCAAAACATCTATAAACTCTAACGACACTCAGAATTTTTAACGGGAAAGAAAGGAATAAGGAAATACTTAAGTTACATTAAATATCAACATCTACACTAAGGTTCTGACGCAGCCAACAAGTTTGAACGTGACAATAAGTTATAAAGAGGACTTAATTGTTCGTATGGGACAAGTTTTAAGTTGTTTGCGAATCTCGGCTGACTGGCTGTACGGGAAATGTCGGAAGCCGCGCGTCGAAGCGGAAACTTATAGTCTCGCAATATGCCGCTATTGTGTTGCGACAGATCGACTTTTTGTTTACTAATAATGTTCTTCCAATAAGTGAGAAGCGTACGAGTATTATTTGACGTGACGCATAACGATGCACGTCATCAGAGAGGCTTAAAATGATAAAATGAATACAGATAGATTTTAGAAGTCTCGTTGGATGTTATAGCAGTTTCTTTCATACTAAAGTTGTGTACACATGTGAATTACGTTAAATCCTTTTGGGGTGTAATACACTATTGTAGTTAGTTTCATCGCAGCTAAATTTTCTGTTCGGCTGTGTACCTCCCGTGTAATAATAGCTTGTGATATATTTCAGCGCCGGCGCGGTTCCCTATGAAGAGTAAAACAGTGCAGGTGACGGCCGGCGAGGCGGCGCACCTACAATGCGCAGCTTCAGGCGATGCTCCACTAGAAGTCAGCTGGAGGAGCCCACATCATCACACGATAGCACACCATCTAGATCAAAGGTAATAGCGATCAAAATAATGTAACCCTAGATAATGGTACAATGACGGAAATCCGCGGTGTTCCACTATCAGAATTAATGAGATGTTCCTCGCAACGAGACAAACTTACCTCTTTTTACAAATAACCAATAAGGTTGTATGAGTTGCATAAATGACTGGACAGACTAAACGATCTTTTTTCTTACAAGACACATGTTCAGCTTTCGCAACTGTACATTATTGTCTTAAAAGATAGGTTATGATGGCTTTGGCATGTACCTATTGTAGTCTGTTTTAACTTTTAAAGTTTGATCGTCTACTTTATGATCTCTTCTTTTACTTGTTTAGGGCCTTCATATTGTCAAGAATAGAGTAGAGAAAGTCGCCTCCCTAAAAATATTAAAACGCAATACATATTTTAATTGACAATTCTGTTTCCAGATACACAATACGTGAACAAGTTCTTGATGACGGACTTGTTTCAGAGCTGAGTATTCTACAGACATACAGGCAAGATACCGGCGCGCTAACTTGTAGAGCATCCAATGCATACGGACAAGACGAAATGCTTATACACCTCGTTGTTCAAGAGGTAATGTAATGAATAAGCAACAATAACATAATTTCCCTCTTTTTACAAGGAAATTTTACACCTCTAACTACGGCAATGACACAAGTGGTCTATCTTAGTGTAGATTAAGTTTCGTTAATCTATACCAAGCCCACCTTTAGTGGTCAATTAACGATTTTGAGTATGACCGAACGCCTAAAAATGTAACTAAATTTTATTTTCCTTTAAGTCTGTTACTACTAAGTTAGGTACACTATTCGTAATTATCGTATTTCAGGTACCAGAAATGCCAAAAAATATCAGAATAATAGATCAACAATCGAGATCAATACAAATATCGTGGACACAACCGTATGCAGGAAATAGTCCAATTATTAATTACATCGTACAATACAAGGAAGCACCAGGTAATATCTCAAATATCTATGAATAACACATTACTGGCTTTCGCCCACGACCCCGTCCTCGTGGAATAAAACAAAAACAAAAGTGAGTAGCCTATGTGTTCTTCCAGACTATATTCAACTTCTATACCAAATTTCATCGAGATCCCTTCAGCCATTTAGGCTATACACTCTAACAAACTATCTAATCAATCCATCTAAACTTTCTCATTTATAATATTAGTAAGATGGTAAGATAAGAAGTAAGATGTTAAAAGAGAATAATATGAAAATTGAAGATAACAATAGAGTATCGTAATATGTGTTGACTTCCAGAACCATGGCCGACAACGCCTCAGAAGGTGATAGTACCGGGAAGTGTAACCTCAGCGAGCGTACAGAACTTGCAGCCGGCGACCTCGTACCATCTGCGCATCATTGCCGAGAACAGACTCGGTCAGAGCGAGCCCAGCCAACTTGTACAAGTTACCACTACTGAAGAAGGTAATATTATGTCCAGACCATATAATTACCCATTGTGAGATATTTTTACTTTATTTTTGTGTTATTTATTTATGGTATTTAGTATGAAGTATTGCAGTTTCTAGACCATATGGGTTTCAAATCTAGGGTGATATTTATTGTTACCACTAGCAAGCTGTTAACCGAGTTATTCAATATTTTTTTCTCCATTTAATTAATATACTTTGAAAATTTCGTTTTTTGTTTTTGGCTATTAAATGGTATTTTATTTATTTATTCATTGGCATACATAAAACTTGTTAAACCACGAACGCAAGTACATTTCTGAATACATTACGCTGTTCTTGTAAATTGTTTTAGCAGTAGTTAATTTTCTTTGCTTACAGTTCCGAGTGGCCCGCCGTTGGACGTTAGGGTCGAGCCTAAAAGTTCTACGGAGCTAATCGTCAGCTGGGATCCGCCGCAGAAGGATTTATGGAACGGAAATATTCTCGGTTATTATGTAGGATTTCAAGAAGTAAGTTTTACAATATTATAAGATTATCGTGTTGGTTATATTATACCATATATTGGACTTACACTTATTATAACAGTGTAAAAAACTAATAAATCGCCCTATAAATCAGGTTTTCGATAGATCTTCGTCATATTTCTTAGAACCCTATATCGGACTAAAATGCTTGACTGTGTTAAAAATACTTTTTTTTTATTAAAAATACTAGCTGTTGCTCGCGACTTGTCCCGCGTGAAATTAAAAATTATTGAAAATATGGCCTATTTTACTTACAGATAAATTACCTTTCTAACGGTGATAGAATTTTTAAAATTGGCCAATAGTTTTAGAGTTATTTAAATACAAACAAAAATACAAATCTCTCCTCTTCATAATATTAGTAGATGTTTGTTAATTTACTAATATTTCCTTTTACCAATCCAACTAAACGCTAGGCTTGTGCCAGGATATGGTTCACGACAATAGTCAAATCCAAATCCGTCGGGATTCGAAACCTCGACCGCAAGATCGGTAGTCCGTACCCCAAACCATTAGGTTATTGGCGTTTTAATCAATTACTAAGTTCAGGTGTTTAACGAAGTGTATCTTTCCTGTATTCCAGTTAAATAGCAACAGTTCAGTCCTGATAGCGAGCGGTCCTGGCGGGGCGTCGTACACGGTGCGAACTGTGGAGGGCACGGGGTCAGCGCGGGCGCGCACTACGCTCTCCGCGCTGCAGAAACACACCGCGTACGCTGTGGTAGTGCAGGCTTACAACAGCCGCGGCGCCGGGCCCGCCTCGCCGCCCACGACTGCCACCACTATGGAAGACGGTAATACTAAATCGAGACAAATTGACGAAGCATATTTATATGAGAATGTTTAGAAGCTTTCATCAGCTTTATTTAAAGTTTTTTTAACTAAAAAATGAGAAAAAATTAAAATTAAAGTGTAGATAAGGCCCACACTTTGGAATAAACTATCGCAGAAATGTTGTCGATTGTCGATTGTTTTCATCCAATTCAACTGTTTAGTTGATCAACTGTAAATCGAGTAGTGTGCGCACCGCCATCTAAACACTAGCAGCCTTACAAATAAGGCTGTCAGGAAACAAAGCGAGACTAAACAGTTGTGCGGTATTTTAATTTCAGTTCCGCGCAAGCTTTGAAAATATGATGAAATAATCTTGAAAAATGATTTTAACCATAATAGCAGTTTTTACCAGTTTGTTAATAGCAATGTTTTGTCTTTTTAGTGCCAAGCCTTCCTCCCGGATCCTTACAATGCGCGGCGCTGAGCTCGCAGTCGGTGCGAGTCACGTGGGAACCGCCTCCCGTCAGAGGGCGCAACGGAGTGTTGCAGGGATACAGGGTCACTTATGCACCTGTCACGGATTGGTATGGTAAGTAACGTATATCAAAAACATTATTTAAAACAAACGAATAAAAAAAACTACCAACCACTACTACTACTACCACAATCATTCAATGGTAGGGGTCATTTTACGTGTTTTCGTTCAAAAATCAATACTAATGGTACATACTATAATATCCTCTTTATGTTCGTCTCGTCCGTCTATAAAAGGTAGGCAACGCATCTGCAATTGCGGATGTCTACGGGCAACGGTTGATTTGCCATTCTAGCGGATTCAGGTGGCCGTTTGCTCGTTTGCCACCTTATAATATGAAAAATGCTAAACTGTAATTTAATATTCAGGGGTAGAAGATGCAGTTACAAAGCAAATATCAGCACTCCATACGACGTTGTCAGGACTACGACGATATACAAACTATTCTGTCACTGTTTGTGCCTTTACCGCTGCTGGTGATGGCGTCAGAGCTGCGCCTGTTTACTGTCAGACTGAAGAAGATGGTAATATTTATAATCTATATCTAACTGTACTAATATTATAAAGAGGAAAGATTTGTATTTTTGTATGTAATGAAAAAACTCAAAAACTACTGGGACGATTTCAAAAATTCTTTCACCAATTAAAAGATAAGGTACCTATCGCTGAGTAACATAGGCACTTAATTTCACGTGGACAAAGTCGCTAGCAACAGCTAGTGATTTATATATCGACTGATTAATTTGCAATCCATATAAGAGTTTATAGCTCCAAAGGTAGAAGACCGTTGATCGTACGGATGGATTGAGTGAACGATGCGTGATGCGAGAGTGAATTCGGATATCATAACTGACAGAGATGTGTTGAGTACATACTATACCGATTATCAATAGGAAAAATGCTAGACGATATTCTCTTACTTTTGTTTCTTTTTTCCAGTACCTTCCGCTCCAGCTGACATCAAAGCAGTTGTTTCATCACGCAACAAGATACTTGTCTCATGGCTTCCACCGACATCACCTAATGGTGTTCTAGTTGGATATACTTTGTATATGAGTGTCATAGAAGATGGACGAGAAGTAAGTGATGAAATTTTAATATGTACGATATCAGGTCCTGTCCCACCATTAGCTGATAGAGACTCAGATAGCTTAAAAATGACTTCAGACAAGATAAGGAAGCAAAATCTGATGTTTTTATCACATTGGGTTGTTTTCAGACAATTTACAATTTGATGGGACAAGCCCTTAAGATGTTATTTGTGTTAATTTCGATGTATTTGTTTTATTAGGAAGGTACTCATAAACGAATGCTGTCTCCGAGTACATTATCACATGAAACCGCGAGATCCCCACCGAGAGGGACTCATCAATTTTGGGTATCTGCTTCTACAAGACTTGGGGAGGGTGAAGCGACCAGAGTTGTTACTGTTTTGCCATCAGACTCAGGTATTTGACCCTCAAATTGATGAGTATATTGTTTAAGTTGATTTGTTTGATGCTGTAATTAATTGAATGAACTTTATCAACAGTGCCAGCAAGAATTACCTCCTTCAGTCGTAGTATAGTTACCCCATGGAAGGAAAATATTTCATTGTCGTGTAACAAAGTTGGCGTACCAACACCATCTACCACTTGGAGTATGAACGGTGCAGTACTGGAATCGACTTTGAGAAAAAACGTTAGCAATGACGGAACTTTGATAATCAGGTAATATTTACTAACCACAACATCTATGTAACGTCTACCCAGAGTATCTCTGTAATGTGCTTTAACATCTTTGTATTCCTTTCCAGTATGACACAGTACGCGGACAGTGGTAACTACACGTGTGCGGTGGAGAATGCTCATGGGCGTGACGACGTGACTTACAGTGTGGAAGTGAAGGTGCCTCCTCAGCCGCCAGTGCTAGCCGTAGTCGATTCCTACGCGGACTCGCTACACCTACAATGGAGTGACCAGGGGGACGGAGGCAGCCCTATCTTAGGTCTGTTATAAATGTACATACTTGTGAATGCTCGTTGGCACTTATAGTAAAACTTCGTCTTATTTTAAATTTGATTATATTTTATTACATTTTTTTAAAACATCTTTTTGTCCTTCATCTTACCTCTTATATCTTTGTTCTCACTAAAAATATGTCAAGAACACAGAAAAATAAACTTTAAGAAAAAAACATTTAAAATCTTAATCCTACATACATATATTTTAGATTCTCCTAACTTTTACTTCCTAAAGAAATGTTCTACTTGGGTGAAGCATAGAAGAAACAGTTAAAGATGATGACAATTAATTGGTTACAAGCTCTTAAGTAAATTCTTGGTATTGACTTTTTTCTTGTTTCCTTTGCACAGGGTACGTGATAAACTACAAGCGCGAGCACGGCGACTGGGAGGAGCTGCAAGTGGAAGCGGGCACATCGGAGCACGTTCTGCCCAACCTGTGGTGCGGCACGCGGTACCAGCTTTATATCACCGCCTTCAACCGCATCGGTACTGGCCTGCCCTGTGACATCGTGCATGCCTATACTAAGGGCACTGGTCAGTTTTTTTACTACTACTTTAAATTATTTTACAACCTTTCTTCACTACACGGAATTATCATGCACCGTTTATCGACCCCTTGGCATCATCCGAGTGGACGGCAAAAATCATGGGAATGTGCAGTTGCGAAAATCCGCGGTGTTTCACTTCAGAAAAAATGCCTTCTCCTTGCAAAGAGACAAACTTCGTCTGTTCCTACAAATAACTAACTAATTAGATAGAAGTAAGTGGTACAAACGAAAGGATAGAAAAAAAGAAACTAAAATTGTATCACTAACCGCCTTTTTCTCATACAGACACATTTATAAGCTGCGTTAAATTAGTTTTTGTGTCGTGTCTCGTTTCATAATTTTCAAACGATTGTAAGTTTGAAGATGGAACACCGTCAGTTTCTCCGACTATACACAAGAATAATATTAAATCAGAAACAGTATAAAATCAGGGTTTAAAAAGATTCTTATTCACAACTATACCAACTCATGAAAGACTGATTTACGGTTTAAGAATATTTATTAACCTTAATAAAAATTTACAATTCACTTATTTAAGGTAATTAATACTAAACACAACATTTATGAAAGATTACAAGCATACGAGAGTTTGTTTAAAATATCATCTAAATGTAGGTAGTGTTGTAAACTTACTTACAAAACAAGACTAATTATTGAGTTGCATCGTATATGTAAACTAGATGTGACATGAAGTACATTCATTATTCAATAAATTATTTAAGTTAAGTTCTTTGGATTTTGTTTGGATATATATTTTTTTGATTTAATGTTGACAAAGATGTTAATAACTGATGTGATAGAACCACAAAAAGACGGGATAACAATCTCTGCGAGTCAAAGTTAAAATTGAAATTTCTATTTCCAGTTCCCGTGAAACCAAAACACTCACAGATGATCACGCTCAATACGACAACGGTAACGGTTTGGTTGGACTCCTGGGGAGATGGTGGCTGTGGAATACTATACTTTGTTATTGAATATAGGGAAATAAGTCAAACACCGGTAAGAAGAAAAGTTTTTTTACCATAATTATTATAGTACCTAGCAAAGTATAAATATCTAAGAAGTATATTTTGATCGAAATAGCTACAAAAGTGTCTTTTGGAGAGAACCATAAATCAAGAAAGACACAAAAAGATGAATAAAAAAGGCATATTGAGTGTCTAAAATTAATGACAACGTTGGGAGAAAAATAAAAGAGATATTTATGTCTCACATACATTTCATTTATTCATTAATAAGATGATACAGTATTTTACAAAGATTGTCACAGTCCAGGTATATTTAAATCTACCATCTCCTATTACTCATTACATAAATCTGTGTTAGTGGCGGCTGGTGTCGAACAGCGTGCAGGCGACGGAGCGCGTGTTCAGCGTCACCGGGCTGGCCGCCGCCACGCACTACCAGCTGCGCATCACCGCCCACAACAACGCCGGACACGCGCTCGCTCTGTACAACTTCACCACGCACTCCCTCACCGGCAGTCAGTATTTATTATTTACTAGCTTTCGCCCACGAATCTGTCCATGAGAAAATAAAAAAAATGCCTATGTTACTCACTGATACCGATGTAAACATTTTGGAATACGGCCCAGTAGTTTTTGAGTTCTTTCAATACATAGAAAAATACACATCCTACCCTGTTTATAACATTAGTACAGATTAGAATATGTTAAGCGATAGCGTAACTATAAATTGATGAAATATTTTTAAATAGGTCTAGTAGTCTTAGAGTTATTTCAATACAAACAAAAATACAAATCTTTCCCTTTTTTTCTGTTACAACTTGGCAACGTGCTTTTAAATAGAAGGGGACACGAGCAACAGATTGCCTCACATTGATTTGATTCCCATCACCATTAACATCAGAGACTGATTTAACCTCTATCAAAGCCTATTAAGGCAGTTTGGTGGAGTGCTATTCCGTTGTGTATCCTGACGTGTGTTTGTGGTGTGCATGTGGTGCAGTAGTGGAGGGCGAGGTGTCGCCGGCGGT